CAACAACAACAACAACAACAACAACAACAACAACAACAACAACAACAACAACGTACTTTGCGACAGGGTGAGCGACATTCCTCGACGATTCCGTACAGACATAAACTACGTCATTTCACGTTTTCAAAACCAAAATGCCGAGGAACATTGGTGTCGGGTTGGTGTCTCTCGCTGCACGATTTTTCGCTGTTTCCCGTGATCCTCAATTTCTCCGAACATCTTGCCTTTTGCTATGTCCTGTCTTCTGCACGTGGTGATGTACTTGTGGATTGCGCAGATCGAGGGTCGCGGCTACAATCGGACTGGATACATGTTCGAGGCAACCGGTAGTAAGAACATCTTCCAAACGTTCTTGGGAGAAATGATGGAAGCTGCGGAAGAACGCCCATTTTTCGTGCTCGAGGTAATAGCGACAGATTAGAACGGATAACCGAAGTAGAAGATAACCCCCCCGTTCAATGTTTTCATTTCTACTTGTGCTTGACGGCGCTTTTCTAGCGTAATGCCATGCTTTCCCCATTCGTCCTTCAGAGGGAGGCAGGAGCATCTTCAGCTCCGCAGCATTTTCGCAGTATTCGATGCAGCCACAACACGTGCTGTATTGCTATTATTGTTGTTTGCGAGGCACGTGGCTGACCACGAAACAGGTTCTCGTTGCATGCGTTAACGATTTTACACACACGTAGAATGTTCTCGTACGCTAACCTTTGTTTTCGATTGTGTGGGTATCGCACATCTAACCTTGTCTCCCGAGCTATCGATGCGATTGTTCCGTCCACAAAGCAAAATGCGGAATTTCAACACGTCTCTTTTTTTGTTTTCGCGTGTCGTTCGTGGGCGGCGCTTAGAGTGGTAGCTGGGAAGGGGGATCAGCATCATGGGTTGCGGAGCACCTCTTGAAGCATTCAGAATCACTCCTGGTCTGCCTTGACACGTGGGACGGAGGCCAAGAAATGGAAAACACAGGGTTCGACATGGTCTCTGTAGAGGTACTATTTTGCCCTTGGCACAGGTTACCGCGACAGCTACTCAGAGCGTGTGCGTCTCACGTACGTTGCCACTTGTTGTCAATTGCGAAAGCGCGTAGAGTAAAGACAAATCCTGGCCGATCCAAGCCCTTGACTTCTGCTCCACCAATTTGGTGCTCGTTCTCTCCGTCTTGTGAAATTCCGACTTCGTTAGGAAAAAAGGTGGTCCGATGCATCGCGACGTAGCTTCAAACAGTTCCACGAACCATCCTGACATGATAGATCGGCGTCGGGGTACAAGGTACTCGCTATAGAGCTCGACTTGAAAAGTTAATCCTGCAGTTCCCATCTGTGGTTCACGTTCCACATCTCGCGCCCACTCGAATTGATCACCATCCGAAAACCCGCTCAACGAGACCATCAGGAGCGGTTCCACTGGAACATGGGGAAGGCCCCCAATGGCGAACGCGTGGTCGCTTTCAAGGGCGACTCGCTGGAATCCTTGGCAGGCCTTGTCGCGAGTGGATTGACCTCGTCGTTCGATGTCGTCTACGTGGATGCTTCCCACGAGGTAAGCTTGGGAGCGAAACAGATGGAAGAGGGCTACTTCCCCACCCATTTCAGCAAAGTATGAATGCATCACCGACAACCGAAAGGATCCACTACTGTGCTAGGTCGGCGCTGTCTTGATGTTAACTGTGTTGGAGCACGGCTCACAGGTCCACGCACCTGGCCGTGAAGTTGTGGGGAAGGAAGGAAGGAAATATGGTTGCACTCGCGTAGTGTCAAGAATGGGCCGAATCTACGGCATGAATCGTCGATGGCAACATGCGGCTGCTATGACCGTCGCGTGATAACGGGTTAAGCCTGGGCCATGCAGTCGGCTGCGTTGTGAATTGAAGCATGGAGTGCAGTCATTACGCGTGTAGTGTGAACGAAACCTAATGCCATACACTGCACCACACGCGTGCTGAATGGGTCGAGGTTTCATCTTAGGAAGCTAACGCCGGTACGCAGTCCAGCACTAACACTGCACAGACCACAGAACGTACACACAAGCCATTTAGGTTATATTGGTGGAAATTTGGCAACGACCCTCACCGCCCACCATATGTCACCCCCCCCCGTGCCTCATGCTGCGCCTGCCATCAGATGAAGGATACACTGGGGGATGCGCTCTTGTCGTTTCGGCTGCTCAAAGTTGGGGGGGTCATGATATTCGACGACTTCTGGATGAAGGGAGTAGCGCGAGCGACGTCGGCGTTCGAAGAAGCTCTCTGGGACTCACTACAAGTACTTCACAAAGATAAGGTGGGTGGCTGATTGTCGATCATACTCGAGGGAGACGTGCCGGACTACAGAGAGGAATTTTGTGAGGTTTGAGGACCGAGTTCAGCGGGCACGAACGATAGATAGTTGCTCCATCTCTCGGACACGTTAGAGGAAACTTGCCTAACAAATGTCTCCTGGTGTTGCACCCCTCAGGTTTAGATGCAGGTTGGCCTCTATCATTTACGTAAATGGTACTTGACAATATGGCGCGAACCACGACGTAACTCCGCAGTGATCTTTCACATGATGGAGGCTTGCTGAGCCCTGTTCTTGGCTGACCGTTTTTCCTCTTTCTCACGGTGTGTTAATCGTTCTGTTTTGGCTTCTGACAGAACCACTTGGTGGTGACTAAAGTGGCAGACGATCGGTTTACGACGCATGACAGTGAATTGGTGCTTGGCGAGAAGTCACGACTGGAAGCTCTTGTTAGCCGTAGGCTAATGGCTCAAACCGGAACCGCCACAGCTTTCGCCGCATCTTGAAGGTTGCTCAACTGGTCTACATCTGTCGCCCACGTCGCCGCTGGCTTCGACGTCGTCGTGCGTGGGAGTGTCACCGTGATTTGCGGTGGAGAGGCGCGTTGCATCATTTTTCGGACAATAGATGTGTTGGGGAACACCACGTCATCCTGTTTGGTTGAGCACATATTTAGTTTCATGGTACGACGTTTGGAGCACATGAAATGAGTTACTTTTTGACCATAACATATTTGAGAGCAAGACTCGACCCGCTCGACGTGTCACGCAGTTTTTGCCAAAAAAGGCTCATCGCCTTGCTGTGCTGCTGCGCTACGTTTGTTTGCATAGATGTGTACAAATATCATGAGGTTGTTGAATTTGTAGTGTACTGCAATGATGGCGAGGAATCCCTGGTGTTTCTCCGACCAAGCCGGGGAAACCAGGATTGGAGCGAGTCATGGGGTTGCCAGGCATCACGTATTTTGTGTGATCTGCCAGGAGGTTTGTGGGGTTTATAGAAGCCGAAATCAAACCATTAGACTATGTAGTCAGCGCTGACTAGTGTCCAGCCTGGGTCTCGAACCCATGACTAACGTTTTTAGAAGCCAAACCGTTAAAAGACTTGTCTAATGGCGGCTTCAAGAGGCTCCGAGGCGTACATCAGACCTCAAAAACGCTCTAACAAGTTGTTGAGGGCGGCCATGATATTCTGATGATCAACATATCGGGACACGGCTCGTATGGAAGGAAATGCATGTACTGAACAAAACGACCGATAACGTTTTACAAAGGGGGCGTAGGTCGGAAACATCTCCGGGAGGCATTGGTCGAAACACATGGCCGACTCAGAATGTAATCTACTTTCCAACGTAAACCCATTGAAAATTGTGCTTGGTTATTTACCAGTAGGCGTACAACTCAAGGCCTTTGGTTTGAGTCTCGCGTCCCGTCCTTTTTGTCGTATTTTCCTGTTTGTTGCAGTGTTGTAATTTCCGCTGCCCAGCGGGTTGGTTGGGATTTGACGAAAGGGTATATTTCCCCGTGGTGTCCGTAGACGGGGGGCGGGGGGAGAGCGTGTTGTCGGCGCCGCTTGTGACCGCCTCGCTGCAGTGGCAGTTACGCGCTGTGGAGTTGCCTCATTCGTTCGCGATACACTCTTTTCGAGTCGGGGGTTCGCTAAGCCCGTCGCTAACGGACACGGCGGTGGATGAATTCATGCACATCGGAGGCTGGAAGGCCGAAACCGTAGCGCCACTTCGGGACCACCACTAAGCTCTCGAGTAGTGGGGGTTAAGAGTCGGCGGGAAGAACAGTATGCGGTTGGGGCTGAGGCACCGTTGTCGCTGACTTTTGCCGCTACAGCAGTACTTCGGCGGCGTGCAAGTATTTTTCCAATATAGACTATTTACAGCAGCATCGGTCTCTCATTGTAAATATTTTAGGTTACTGGGTCTTGTCAATGACATCATCATGGGCATCACGAACGTAAACAAAATGTCGAAATCTATTACCACAGTAACATGGCCGGTCAACTATCTTGGGCTTACGACAGGCCAATCAACCAAAATCGGTCTTCTTCTTGTCCTGCTGCTGTTGTTGTAGCCAACCGCTGTTAATTAAACAATAATGTGATATTTAGACGTTTTCAGAAGAATCACCGCGTTGGAGGAAGGGACAGCAGGAGAAGAGTTGGAGTGCCCATGAGCTGACCAGCTGGCAGCTGATGGGCAGGGGGCTCCGTACATCGGGCATGGGCTGGCTCCGTACAACACCCTCTGGGCGTAATAACCTATATTCCCCACGAACCCCTATACTTGTAGTCTACGCAGGACACGTGGACCAATAGTCTACATCACCGATAACACTTATTACACTCCAATCACACGAACACTCCTTGCGTAGCAGAAGCGTATCATTTTTTGCATGTTGGTGGTATTGTATCTGTTGCTCGGCTTCTGTGGCCTGATAGTCTACGGTCTACATACTGTCCAATCACGGTACAATAATTGCTGGAGTTCCCCTGCACTTCAAACGCGGCGGGCTCACGCAATTCAATCAATACAAACCGAAGGGTCAGTACCTTAAGATGACAACATGCATGCGGCGATGTTTCCTTCATCTCTCGTGCGCTGCCGAGCCTTCAACTTGCGTGAAAAATGGGTAGGTGCATTTTTAAGCGTCCACAGTGATCAAGAAACTAATAACTCCTGGAATGAGATGCCCATGAAGCGTGCTACTGGTGTTCGTACTCCAACGCGTATTGAGTGTCTGCAAGATGGCTCGACAGTAATGATTTCTTTTTGTGCATCTGGCTGCACACCCTGCGAGGGGTAGAATGCAGATGTGGAACCGCTTGTTTTCCATGCCGCACTGGACATTTCTTCGAACCGCATGCGCAGCCCACGACCACAAGCAGTACGAAGGTTTTCGTGAAGGCCTCACGTTTCTCCACGAGCACGGTGGTTTCGATCACATCGCAGAACACCACCAGACAAATCATAGAGATCCGCCGGACAATCTTTCGCTATCAAGTCTACCGTACCCCGCGCAATGGGCTGCTGGGTTGTCGAAGAAGCGTGACACTTGCTCGGAGGCGCTTAGCCCCAAGCTACCGTCAGCCGTGCAGATGCCAAGCTGAGACACGGTTTCAGACACGAAAGAGACAGCCGTATGGAGGGGCGGGGGGTCGTTCAGTCAAACTGAAGGACAAGGTTCATATTTTTTTTTTTAAGCAGAAGGAAGAGGGTATCGTGTGGAGCGAGTTCAAATAAAGATATGACCTCCCAGCGTTTTCGCCAGCCCTCGTGCGAAATTCAGAATAGGCTGGTAAACGTATGAGCAACAGCATCAATAAGACAAAACGGCTGTTGGGTTGTACGATTTGCAGCGGTGGTAAGCCAGCGGATGCGGATACTTGAAAAACATTGGGCGCAAAGAGAAAATCTCCCGGCAGCACCTTGGCGTACTCACCTCTTCCGTGTGTAGAGAAACGTCAATCATCACGAGGTCCAACGACCTGAAGACATGATAGCGCCACCCCAGACCGCCATACGAAGTCGAACGTGGCCCAGTCGAGAAACGGAGTAGGGGCAACCATGGAACAGGTCGAAGAGGCCAGTGGACAAAGTAGGCAGAAGTTAGCGGTGGAAAGTTTGTCAATGAGGAAGTACCATATGCTGTCGAGGATGGTGTGGTAATGAAGCGTTTGAGAACATTCGAGACGGAGAATGATGCTTTTGATTGGTTTGACTATGATTCTCAGCTACGGACGTAGACAAATCAACCCGTTTGTAATCGCGGCACATAAAAATGCAGCGTATAAGCTCTATTCCTCCAGACGACCGATCCCTGCGTGCCGTTGCGTCGAAACGACATTCTAGATGTGCCCTGTGGCGCGCAATGCTTCACGCTTGACTTGATACTTGCATACAAGATTGAGTCAGACAATATCCCTTCCTTCCTCACCATTCTCGCTGGATACCCCCAGTTGCTAAGAGTGTTTCGAGAGAGAGGGCACCTTGTCTTTCGAATTGAAGCCATTCGTTGTTGATATTTAGAACAGAATATCTCCTGCCTGAGTTTGACGACGGCAACAGCGAGGTGGCCACAGCGCCAATCGACTGTTGCAAACGCGCTCCGTTGTTCCGTACCTCTTCCAACGAAAACTTATGCAACGTTGCTGCATGCCTATCAAGGATCTCATCCATGGAATGGTACCGAAGGATGAATTTTACAGCTTGGGCATTCTGATAGGGGCAAACGTTGTGCTTCTGTCTCACCTGACACCATTGCATGAACTCTGGTTGGTGTCTCCGCCTCCAACCTGAGTTTCGCCGATTATTCTGGATACGAAGCACTTGACTGACTGGACCAACTCCCTAACCAGGGGCTCTCCCATGGTGTAGTACAGCACAACGTGGGGCGAAGGACCCGGATGCTGAGGCTGCCGAGGTACGGAGAAAACAAGAAACACAGGGAGCATGCCGTACCCGTTTCCAGGGTAAGTTTAACACCTCGAATCTGACGTGATAGCCCCGCGAACGGAAGTGAACGTTGGAACCAAGTAGGATCAGGGTAACCGTAGTGAGCAACGGGCGCGGACGGGCTCAACACTACAAATAATTTTTGAAGATCACGGGCAAAAAATTAGGACCCCTTCGCAGGTTCCAGCGTGAGCGACCACATGTCAAAAGTTCTCGTCACCTCGGCAAGAGGGCATCCCATGATGGAGTGAATCCACCATAGGGGATGTGTTTTCCATCCTCCCCAACGATCCAACAGACTGCGCTCCTTCGCTTCTTCCCGAAGCGCCATCTCATAGTGGGGTTCAAGGGGTGAAGGAGCCTGCAATGCATCTCTCAGGAGTACCAGCTTTAGGCGTGCGCTATCGACGTCTTCAGCCTTCGCAACGCTCGTGTATATGGAAGCATCGCTGGAGTCTCCTTCCGTTGCCCGACCCAAAGGGCCTGGCGCTGCTACTGCGGGAATAGGCTCCAGTAAAGGGCTCGAGTCTAGTAGTGCCTCCCATGCTCGAGGCTCTGGGTCTAGGATTGCGTCCACTCTTCGTTCATCTTCCATGCCCCGGGCGGGAAACAGAGTCCGACATCGAAGATCCGAATATTCCGCCAGCGCCTCCAGACAATGATCTCTGTTTCGAAGGGTTTAGCGGAGGAGGGCAACCCATAAAAGCCCGCACGAGAAAGTCAGTGTGGGTTAGAGAACATTTGCAGACCGGAGTCGTAGATACCGTGGCAAAGGTTGAAATACGCATACGACATCGACGGAGAAGGATAGGAGAAGGCGTATCAACGAAGCAGCGCGGGAAAAACGATCGGCAGACTGCAAATCAATATCACCCTGGTTTTACTTTCGTGTGGTCAATCCGCCCAGACAACAGCTCCACCCATTTCCGACGGAACGCACGGTACATTCATACCACAGTATAGGTCGCCTGGACCGCTCACCGGGAGAAAGGCGGCTGAAGAGCGTTCCACAAGCCCAAGAGGCTGCAAACTTCGGAGTACACGATGAACCCAAGCTTGCACACGCCACCGATCACCCCCCGCGTGATGATGAAGTCGAACAGAGGGTAAAACCGATACGGAATTTCGGAGGCGTGGAGGTGTCTGAAGAGCACGCTCTCTTCGAAACCGATGGTGGCACACTCAGGCTGCCACCACGACGACGGCGGCGGCCACGATCGCCCATCGCAGGCGTAAAACGTCTTTACCGCCGAGAAGAAACGATCGGAGAACTTTCGAGGCACGAGGGCGAAGTGGTCCGACATCGGCCTGGGAATCACCACAAGGAGGGGTGGACCACGATGTTTCGGGGAGTTTACATACGGGCGTGTCTGCCATATTTTCTGGTTTCTTGGAGGTTCCAAACATAAAGACGAACAGCCAGCAGCGTAGACATGATGTCGGAAATATGTCAGGGATGCTCACCAGTAGTGACGGCCAAACCACACAGCTTGCCGAGAAAACGACCGAAGAGGCGGCAGGGGGCGGGCCCAGGCCACGTCGAGGCGACCACGTATAACCCAGTCGTAGGTGAAGCCACTCCCTATTCGTTTTTCTTCTCGAAGGGCCATGCGGTAGGCCGCCAGCGACTTGTACAGCTGCCAGTAGAGGCTGCGACTTGCCTCGGGGCTGTAGCGCTATTGTTAGGTCAAAGTTGAACGTTGCATTGTTTGCGCAGACGATTTGCACAGTTGGCTTTGGGTACGCTTGCTTCGGGTACCCTTACGCGTCGTTGGTGTTGGTGGGAGGCTGACACGAATAGGACTTGAAGCAAAATAAGTATCAGTCTCCAGCCGCACCAATATCCGGCGATTTTCGGCGAATCGCGGGTCGTTTAGTTACCGGTGCGCACACATGCAAATCTGAAGATTTGTACTGAGGATTGTGTACCGGGGGTCTGATGTGACGTAACAAATGCGGGTAAACAATTGGCCGTCGTGAACAGCAATCAGTGCAACCCATCCAAAAGAACAGCGTACCTGTTCCCAATACCAGAGGTGGCGAGCGCTGTGGCGGGAGGCATCAGTACGATTGTTTACCCCGGCACAACCATTGGGAATGATTCCCGCTTGATCTTGGTGCCACAATAGCCTGGTCGGCTCCAAGACGGCTAGGGCAACCTCGACGTCGGAGGAGTTTGGCGTAAATTCGGGGTTTTCGACCTACATGGGGACGGCAAGGGGCGCAGGTGTTAAAGACAACATTATTCCATGCACGTTACCTCATCCACCTATATCGACAAGTACGCACCGAACACATTGGTTTAGGCTCAGAGATGGTTCTCGAAACCTGATGATTCTACATGGAGAAGTAGGCGACGGGGGAAATCGACATAAAATGACTGCGCGAAAGATCGAAGAGGGCAGACGGACCCCGAGGCAGGTAATCTAATGCTTGTAGGTACGTACAGGTCCCGGGGGGCACATCCAGCAAACGATCGGGTACAAGGAGAGCGCATATTCGATAGCTATCTCCTGACAAATAAGTTCTGCTCCTCTTCCGTGTTTCAATTGCACCGTTGGACACGACGGTAGCTTCGAGTAGTTGAGGTTGTGGTGAGGTGCAAGAAGGAAGCGGACATTCCCCCAATTTCCCATGAATTTACGCCGGCAAGGTAAGCTCTGTTCGCACTCAGGGAAATACTTTTACTGTTTGCAGTCTTTCAGAAAGTTACAAGGTGGGCCAGCAATGATACTATACAAAACTCGTTACCACGCAAGACATTATCGTTTTGCGCACCCCTCGTGCCAATGTGGATTAGTTGGGAAGCCAACATGGAGCATGAAAAGTTGCAGTTTGGGTAAGGTTCAAGTTCTTATATGTCGTGAAATCCAACCCTCACTCCAATAAGGCCGTCAACTTCTAAGATTGGCTGTGGCCCTTCCGGTACCTGCATAGTATGGCGTACCCAATAACTCGAGCACAGAAAAGGTAGTGGGGCACGCACACCATACGGCACAAGAAGCAAATCTTGCCGGAGCACAAGGACAGCAGGGTCAAGAAGGTTTATACCGCAGCATGGTTTCTTGGGAGGATGTCTAGGATGATAACGCTTGGCCAAAACGAAGTGAAAAGCCAGCTTGCTTCCGCACCGGCTATGGAGTGGAGGGGTCTCAGCAGTGTTTTAGCACCGTAGAAGTGTCAGCATGAAGTAGACTATGACAGCCCTGCGTACGTGGTTGCCTGCTATGCATAGCCAGTCAGTATACCGTCCGTAGTTGGCTACCATACCCTAGACAGCTCACTGGTGGACCCGACACTAAACCTTCAACAGCAACCTACAGTATATCCGACGGTAACACAGCAGCCTGTGGTGGACGGTAACAACGAAACTACACACATACACTAGGACTTCAACTAACGTAGAGCCTTGCTTGGCGTAAACATGAGAAATGTCTTCTTCGTACAGCATAGACTAACCTGTCGTCCGATGTGCGGTCAAAACGCGTAAGTAGCCGTGTGTAGTCTGAGAGATCACTCTAGCCGCCAACCGGTCGAAAGTTCAGTACAGGGAGGAGGACCATAGCACAGACGTTATTTACCTGCTTGGCTTTCACTACCGTGTCTTCTCGAGTGACGTAGGCGAATACGTCCACCTCGCAGCCGTCCGCCTTGATCGATTCGATAAGATTGGTTCGGATGGATCTGTGCACCGCCGGATGCACGAAAGATCGTATGGCCCCAGAGAAGCACATGGCCACCCTGCAGCTTGCACGAGCACCGCTAGGGCCGGTGTACACTTTGGGGTTCTGTTGCCGCGATGATCTGCCGTTATCGCTATGGTTGATCGCGGTGGTGCCCTCAGCCCTTGCAGCACTCGGCAATGCAGCCGCTCCCAAAACATAGGCGAGCGTTGCCACGAAACCACTATAGGACGCCTTCCTTCGGCTCCTCGGTTTGCCATCCCAGCGTAGCATGTCCCCACTGAGCCAAGATAACTTCTGGTCGAAGTGGGAATATCCTTTGCTTCAGAAACAAAGAAAAGCTTGTGGAGGATAGCAGCAAGTCCGCTCGTCAGCAGCAAGATCCGTAGCAAGATCCAAGCAAGTGGCGGTCGCGGTTCTGTTGAGGAACCAAAGTTCGGAACCCGAACCCCGCCTTGAAATTCAAATATTTGATTCCACGGAACGCCCATTTACCTGTCGCGCGATCTTTTTTCTGTTGGGCACGCACATGGTACTTGCTGAGACCCACGTCGCAGCGTGCGGCACCGAAGAAGTCAGCGCTACATCGATCATGGTGATTCTTCTCTTCGGTCACCCGGCTATCTTGCTGCTGATTCTTTCGGTGGCCAGAGCCGGTAACATCGACGCGCGGTTCATCGCGCCGAGCGAGGCTTTGGAAGGCGAACGATTTGTTTCCTCTTTTGGCGAAGACCAAACCACGGAGGATCGACGCTCGTACCTGCAAGCAGCCCGGGAGCGAGGATACACCTGCTCGATGCTCCCGAAGAACTACCCGAGCGCTGTCGCCCTATTCTGCGCCAAGGTGATAGCTAGATGTATGCCTGTCTGTGGGTATCCTCGCTCACCGGCTCGTTCAATTATATTGTATTTACACTCCTTCTCGCGAGCATATTCTGTTCGTATGCATGACGCTATGTACTGTACACTAGGATTCTCAAGTCCATCATCGGGTCCATCTTGTTTTACATCGAGCTGGCGTACTCCAGACTGTAGCTGTATATATTCATTGGACACGTGCGTGCTCCGTCCCGGCTTTGTAGGGATGCGAGGTCAATCCTCGACAGGATATCGTTTTCGGACAGAACCCCAGACTCTGCGGGCCCTAGCCCAAGGGTGCCATCTGCTCCACTATACATATTATTTCCCGCTAGGTGGAAGCTTCCACGGAAGCGACGAAAGCCTCAGTGCGAAAAACTATGGAGCCTCGGGGAACCTCGTGGGGGGATGGAAGTTTCGATCTCTTCCACGGAGCTTCAGTGGAATCTGTCGTTGTCTTTCTGCCGTAAGATCCCAAGGACGTGTTCCTCCAGAAAGAAAGGTATATTCTACTTTTGTAGCCCTCGACTCGGGTCAAGCGTACGTATGCATTGATTCCCATCCAAATCAAGGCAAACACTGCAGGAACAAAGCGGAGAAATACAACTCCTGCTGTGTGGCCTTCCTCCCGTGCCACCCCGGATGGTGCGTCAAGAATGGTACCGAAAGGTACCACGTCCAGAAAAAATGGGGTGACGCAAACAAACAAAACATTAGACTAGACTTGAAGTCTACGGGATACTCTAGCCTATTTGTGTTGGATTTTTTTTTTATCGCCGATAATCGGGTAGACTGGTTCTTGGTTCCTACACAGACGCTGCTATTCTCTCGCGAACTGTTTGATCCAATCAACTGCTTTGTGCTCTATTTTCCCAACGAACGGTCTATTTTTCTCACTTGGCGCTTCACAACCCGCCAAAGAGATAAATCGAACGCGAGTTGTCCTGTTGAAATTGGGGAATGAAAACGAAACCAGATTGCAGAGGGTGTGGTCAACGTGTTATAGAACGGGCCTTATTCGTGAGGCAGAAGTCAGTCTCGTTTTTTTCCTGCTATCTGACAAATTGAAGCATGTGTGCCTCCCACCGCCTTTCGATGAAAACCGTCTTGTGTCGTTGTAGATATAAAGCTCAGGAACAAACAATACACACCCAGTACGTAGGCCATGGGAAAGCTTGCTGTGTGTACTTGAATAGCCATGGCATGGAATGGAATGTCTTAGTCTGCAATGCAAATGTTGCCCCTGAGAACGAATTTGGTTGAGTTTTGATTTAGCACACACAGGCGTCACGATGCTGACCATTCCTGGTACATCCTGGTGTAATAAGGGACAACGAAGGTGCATGGTGAAACATACACCACTCCACGATGGCGTCAATGTGTTATCTCTGTAACAAGGCGTATACGTCGCTCGTTGCCCATGATCCCGCGGAGAGTTCGAATCCCGTATTTTAATTGTCACGTTCTCGTTCATGGAACCGATACGGACACAGAACTTATGGAGACGATGCGCCGGATTCCCCGGTCGTCGAGAGGGACAGTTATAGCCCTCTCCGGGATAGAGAGGAACAAGGCGTAATTACAGCAACAAACCTAAGGAGGAGTCCAACTGATGTTTTGAGCGTTGCGAACGACCGCCGGCAGACCCCCACGACGACCTACACCGACGTCCCAAAGAGCGCCGAAGGCCTCCGAGCTACTCTGGCCAAAGTCAGTCTTCAAGATTGGTTGCCGAGCTTGCTCTGCCCGCCGCCGGTGACCGACGAACGCAACACCGATGATGTGACCGGTCGGAAGGCTTGTCGTGGGGCGGTCGAGGAAGCTTTGGCGACCCAGCCATTTGCCGAGGTAACTCTGGTGCACGACGACCAAGCAGCCGTCATAAGGTAATTACACAGAAGCGTTCTCGCTCGATTTCTTTTGATCAGGATAGTGTAGGTCATGCTTTCGTGCTCTACGGCATTCTTGTATCTCGCCTCTATCCGCTTCGTTCGGTTTTTCAAGCCTAGCCTCTCCCTTCTTGCCTTCGGTATCACACAGAGCTACCGTGGACGAGGAGCCGTGGCTAAAGGTACTACAGAGCTTCATGGAACCGAGCTTTGCGGCCAACTTCCACCCCTCTGACTGTTCCGTGGCTTCTAGCGCTCTCGCTTTCGGGCGTGCCAAGACCCAGGTGTTGCCGGCCCTGCGAGCCCTTGCCGGCAGGAGTCAATCTTTTTCTTCAACAGCGACAACCGCAAACACCACTATGAATGGGGTAGGAGGAACAGCATCCGTATTCTCACGGAGAATCGCCGCCATGAAGCCATTTTCATCGTTACCGGTTCCTGCCGGAGAAGAGGCATCTTCGACCACGAAGGAAAGCGTAGTCGCCAAGAACACGCAACCTTCGTCATCAGCATCTTCATCGGCGATGCCTCATGCCGGGCGGATTGCGAATCTACTCGCGCTGCTCGACGACGGAAATGAACGCAGTGGCATGGTCAAAACGCCACCTTTTCTGCGTATGAAGCACCCAAGTCTACAAGAGCGCGTGAGCGGCGGGGTGGTGAATGTTGTGATCGAGGTTGTCCTTGGAGCGGTGCTGAGGACAAGTCTGCTCGCAGCAGCCACTACCAACGACGGAAGCAGCAGCAGAGTCGATACTGCCGGCATCGAAAGCGGATACAGGAGTGTGGGGGAGGACAAGTCGCTTGCCGATTATGATCGATGCGTCATTCGCGCGGTTGTGGACGGCATGACCTCTTCCAGCACCCCAATTGACATAGAGGATGTTTTCAACAATGACGGCGAAGCCGCTGTGGTCATGCAGATGGACATTGTGCCAACTTACGACCACAATCCCCACTGCAGTGAGCACCCAGCAAGGGCACTGGCGGGGTGGAGTGCCTGGGCCCAAGATGAGGACGTATGGCGCCTTGATGCCAGGGCCGTGGACAGAGTTTGCACACAAGAGGCGTTCGGTGCACACCACATCCACGGCGAACTGGCATGTCACCGTAGTACCAGCACCGTTACAGAAAGCCCGACCAGTTGAGAACAGGTTTTGGTGTGAGATTCTATCGACCCTCTCTCTCTCACACGATACTTTAGAGAAGTACCATTCCTACGTACCTTTCTAACTCCCTGCTTGATCCACATATAGCACACCGAGGCTTGGGTTCAAAGTTTCAAGTATCTTCGTTGCTGCTGTTCTCTCTTCCTGAGTTGTCGATGATATTCCCAACGCCGCCGACCACTTCTTCGCCAGAACCGATCGTCCATGGCAATGCGAACGAGGGGGAATGGGGATCGTCGGCGCCATCCCCACGTTTGGAATCGAATGTGGAGGGGCCGGCATGGGAAGTGTTGGCGACTTCTGCAATGGTCGAATATTTCCACACGGGCCACCTGGCGGATGTTCTGTCATCGTCTCCTTGGGTAGCACCGTCGGGAGGAGAAAGTCGTGACAACAAGGGCGAACACAACGGCGGCGGTTCGAAAGTCTCGAATCCGCTTTTCGATTCGCCCCCGGAAGACATTTCTGTATCGCTTTATCTCGAAAGTGACCCCGATGAGACGTTAGTGGTTGTGGCTGTACCCAGGTGGCTCTCGGATGGAGAGGTATGGGAGGTACGTCAGGACGTGTTGGGAGTCTTTTCTCGTGCCGCGGCAGAGTTCTATGTATGATGTTGGCTCTCTATGAGCGGGTGGTTCTTGTTCTTGTTCTTGTTTTCTCTTTCCTGTACAGCTCTTGTTGGGATGATTCCTCCGCGATTGACACGCTTTCCTGCTTTTGGTACAGGCGGCGTTCGACACTTGTTCAAAGGCTTTCGGACCGTTCCACGGCATCCTAGTCAACGTTAACGACTGCGTCGATTTGGTCACCAGCGTGATCACGGCGAAGAGGGTAAGTGCCAAAACTCTTCGCAGGTGTAGGTAGATGATAACCAACGGAGTCGGTCGCGAGCTCAGGCCGCATGCACAGCAGCACACATGGTTGTGCTCCATTATCTCTACGTTATCGAGCGGCGAGTCAATCGACAAGTAATCACAGTGAAGACCGGTCAATGGCCCAGGCTGTCTGCCGTCTTGCAGGGGTTGAGTCGCACCATGCAAGGCTCCGAGAAGTGTCACTGGTTTTAGGAGCGGGGCAGAGGTTCGACAGAGCAAAAGTGATACCCAATGAACACAGATGCCCCTTCGTCGTCGAGGGGGGTTAACGAGGGGTCCAGAGGTGTTAAGGACATCGGTCGTACAGTCATCAGACATGCGTGGTGTGCTTTCTGCTATAGTAGAAACCATGGCATTCTTCGTACCATACGTTCGACTTTCCACGTTGCTCTGCGAAGTCTATTTGTGTCTGGCACCGATTGCTGAACCGCGTTTCTTTCCCAGGTGGACCTGTTCAACACAATGTCACTACGGCTAACTGCCTACCTGCGGAGCATACGCCCCAACTACTTGATCTTAGGGCATACGGGTGCGTTCCCGCAGAAGGTTGAAGCCCTTGGAGCGGTGTTGCGAGACGGGGGCGATCGCGTGGAAAAGATCTGCGAGGTGAACGGGGAAGGGGAGGAGGAGGTGGAGGAAACGGTTAGGGTGAACTTGAGGTTAATTTGCGGCTAGGACTAGGGCTAGCAATGAGATGAGGGAAGAGTGAGGCCATGTTGAGGAGCCTTGAAAAGTGGTATGCATGTTGTGGAGTGACGCCACACCTCTGGTTGTGAAACACACATTTATTGGTCGTCCGATCGCGTTATTTCTATCGCGGACCAAGAAGCAATGTACAGGCATCGCCTTCCTGCGACACCGCCGCACGGTAATGCAGAACAGAAAGGAAGGTTGACGTCGTAACCGAAGCCAATGCTAAAAACGTAAAATCGTTACCCTATCGAAATAATAATATTCAAATTTGGCACAAATTATGAAACTTCATCGAGTAAACGTTTACATACACGGAAGAAAGTGCGCAAACTGATCACTTGGCTCTTTTGCTCCCGAAGCCCCGAAAGAACGCGTAGAGACAGGATAGTTTCGAGACCACTCCACCCACCCCACACTTAGCACTTCGGTGCTCGGATTATTTGCGGGATATGCCCCTCTGGTGCTGTGAGAGCGCACAGCACCGGCGGGGGGGTTTCCACAGGCGAGGGCCTCCACCCGCGGTCGGAGGCCTCACCAAGTCCAAACTTACACCAAGTGATCCACTGAGGAAGAGAATACCTTCGCAAAATGCGCATTTGGCACTGAGGTTAACCCGCAGGAGACCGCGAGGAAGAGCACAGGGAACGCCGGTGAAGCAGCATGAGTTTCTAGACCACTGGGTATAGATAGAGAGAATAAGGGCGGAAGCCGACCCCAGGAACCCGCAGGCCTGGTGCCTGTGCTTTCCCCTCGAAACTGTCTGCAGTCTCTCTGTTCACGCAAGGGTCATTAGGGTTAGGGTTGGTGATATGACCAAACTCCCAAAGATATTCGGCCATTCGGTTACACCCAAACCGAGATCTACTCCAGATAAGAGCCCTGCGCACTCACCCACCCACCCACCCACCCACCCCGACGCCAAAGCGTAGATTCCCCGATACGTAACGAGCGCACAGCGTAGCGTCGCGGGTTTCGCCCAGACTCAGCGACGTCCGTACAAGGACATTCCCTATCTCATCCTCGTCGGCCTTGTCGCTCTAAGACGCGGCTCTAAACGGTCTTGCGGTAGTTGCGTGCCCTGGTGTTCCAACAACATTGCAGATACAATATTTACCGTAGCACAACAACGTCAGTTCGTTTCGTGCAAGGCACCAAAAGTATCTTTAGTCCGGTCCCGCCTTGGTTTACATGTTTTGTTTCAAAAGTATCTTTAGTCCGTATTCCTCACAATTACCCTCCCGTCCGCGCCTCCTCCACGTTCTTCCCCATCCTTGGTCTGAATCTCGTGCTCCTTCATCCCTACTGCCCTCCAAAGGTGGGCTTTAACGCTGGGCACAGCTCTCTCAACTGGCTGCTTAACTCGCGCCCTTCGACGAAGGTCTTGGCCTTTGATCTGGGCGAATACGAGTACATGAGGCACGCCCTTGACTTCCTGCAGGTAAAACATAGTAGTCGTTATAGAATAATGTTCTTTCGCCGCTAGCTAGCCTTCTTGTTTTAATCGGTCGAAACCGTGGTATCCCCCATTTTTCAGGTCTCCTTGCCCATTTCCCCAGCTCGCAATCCCAGTAAAACCATAGGCAACAACCAACTCCTCTCCTCTGTGACAACCAGCGACGGGAACTAACGCCAACTCGTTGGACGGGTGCATGTGGTTTCATCTTCACTCCCCCTTTATTTCAATCCCTCGGAACCTAAAACAGATGGTGTTTCCCGGTCGGCTTGAGGTACTCATCGGACACTCTACTGTAACCATCCCGGCGTATGCGGTGGTCGAGGAGGCAGCTGGCAGAGACACTCGCACATGCAACGTACTTTTTGTTGATGGCGACCACACCGAGGAAGGTGCCTACGCCGACCTTATCAACTTCCGGGCATTGGCTAGCAGGTGAACGCTACGATAGGACTGTCGAAACAAGACTGTTTTTTCTGGGCGAAAAATGCCCACAACCCATGGAAAGAGACATGAGGTGAGGCTATGGTCGACCCCGTTCCCGAAGGGCTGTAGGGGTCGAAGGGTAAGGTCCTCTCTTCTCACAACCGGTTCTCTGCCATGTGCTTCGTTGCGCCCCGGGTGTAAAATTACATACACCGTGCCCGAGCGACTTCCGCTAGCGGTGTTCACACATTGGAGTCGATATATTTCGCTACGCGGTACGAAGAAGATTTTGTCGTTGTTCTTTGGTGTTGTCAGTTGACGCACTTGTTGGTTCAACCTGTTGGTTGGGTAAGTTGCCAGTGCTTTTCGCTCTGCACTATCTACTACGCCCCAAACGTTCAAAGAGGACTTGGAGATTATCACCCCTAGAAGCATAGCTGCACTCTCGCAAACACCAACCGCACGGGCTACGGCAGTGGTATGATCCTCCCATCCGCACCAGAGAGAAAGTCTTTTGGTAATTGGAGTCTTTGCGGACATGGCCACCAACGCCATTGCTCGCACGCTGATCACGGACTTTCCCTCCGGAGGGTCTGAAGACCTACCACCAACGCCGAAGTGTTCGGGTGGTGAGACGATATTCTCCGCTCAAGGGAAAGGCATGTGACAGGACCACCTCGCGTGCCATCAATGCATGCATCTCGTTGTCCGATCTGTTTCACTCTTCACGTGAACGCCTCGGTTTAACCGCCACTTACTTCATGGCTTGCCAGCTACCTTGAGGGATGCTGCCTGTGTTTCGTCTGTGTTCCCGATCATCAGTCAGCAGTTTAAAACTTGAGCTTGCAGTCACATGAAGGGGGCTGACACGTACAACAACAGAACAGACGCCGCAACCCGACACGGCAATTCAATACTGATGGTCGATTTTTAGGGATTGGAACGTGCTAGCTATCGACGACTTGGAAGACCCGCCCGTAGAGGCTGCGTGGCGCCGTTTCCGTGACGAGGATATAGGGGGAAGGCTTGAACGGGTCGTGAGAGCCTCCGCGGAACACTATGCGCATGCACAGGTGGGTGGTGTGGCGTTTAATACAACCCGTGCTGTGCTTTCCTGTTGCGTCGTAGGACAAATGGAGTTCGACAAGTATAGTGAGGAGCAGTCCCTCGCTTGTACACGGCTAAAGGGGTTTGGCTGTGACAGCTTGCTTCAGTGGTTGTTACTTGTTTGCCGGGAGCGGGCCATGTAAAAAACTTACTGATCGGTGACACCGGGGTAAACAAGTGTAGATGTGTACAGGGCTGAAAACGAGGGCTTACGTAAACGCACGGGTCGTCATGCAGTGCCTTCATTCTCCTTGGAGCACTTACCGTTTACCAGCACTGCACCCGGGGTTCTGCACATACTGCACTGCGAGACTGTGTCTGCACTCCGAGGCCGTGTCTCAAACCACGGCTTGTTGGCCAACGACTGTGGTACTAGCTGGCATCATGTGTCCATCATGTGCCTTCCTTTCAATAGTCTCATGTCTTGTTGAGCTGGTCCCCATTTACTGCTGTTGGTTTCGTGCTTCGTTCTCACGACTGCTGTTCCTTTGTAGTGCCTTTCGATACGTTCACGTCTTGCACGATGTAGTCTGCTTTTGCCCCGTGTTTCGCACGTTCGCTCCGGGCTCCAGTCGGTTTGGCTCCTCGGAATGATTTCCTGCGTACCTTTTGATGAGGAGCGTCGTCAGCCAAGCGTCGTACAGAAGTTTGATGAAGGGAGAGTGGCAAGGAGGTCCAAATGATGACTTTTTCCACAGCTTAGACCATGAGCAAAACGTTACTGGTCTGTCCCTCTCAGGTTGTGTTTCCACCTCTATGTTTCCACATCATCTGTTGATAGCTTCCTTGCATATGTCTGAAGCTTTTTCTTGAACTGCCGTGAGTACTCATGCTGCCGGAAACTGGAGTACCCGGTGGGTGCGTTCTTTGAAGTCAAAAAGAAAGGTGGTAAGCTGATACGAACATCATTCGGCATGGCCCCTACGGAAGAAAACACCCAAATCGTTAATTGTTGCAAGCCTCTACAGCCCAGCCTCAAGCGCCCCAGCGTGTATGTTTACGACCGACCGCAAACGTACGGCAGCGCAGATCTTAACCGCGAGCACACGATATTCTCAACTTGTTTCAATATTCGATTTACGACGCTAACAGGAGAATGACAATGGAGGGTGGGACGTGCAAGAGGACCGCAACTATCACCAGTTTTTCATGCAGCGCGGACATGTCTCGCTGGGCATTGGCCACTTCCGGACAAGTGACGCTTAGTAGTGTGCGGATATGGTTCTGGTGGAATGTGGTGCCACGACAACAACAACCGACATTATTAGGCATGGATTCAGGAGGGGCGAGGCCCTGTCTCAGGACTTGACGTTCTAGGGTGTTCCACCCGATCTCGATCGCCGCGTCGTCTAGTTGTGCATTCTTGACTACAATAATGTGTTAAACACACGCTGCTAGAAGAAACCAGGCTTCTGCCAGAATCGATGATGTCGATGACGATATATGTAGTCTATATATTATGGAGCGATGCGTGAATATCGTACACAGTATTGTGGTCAGTCGTTCCATGCAAGCAACGAGAAATTGGCAGTAGTCGTCAGACCCGTAGACCCGCCCTTTGAAGGAAAATTGCACGTCGGGGAAGGGGGGGGAGTACCCTGGGGGACGGGCAAATCACTGATGAAGAACTTCAACCCATGGGGCCGCGACTAAGATGGAGGGGGGCAAAAATCCAGGGAAGTTTATATTTACTATAGTCTAGTCTAACCCTTGGTTGCAGACAATGTAAGCAAGACAACGTTTTCTGCCGAACTTAATGTTACTGGGAAGAAGGACCCTCATTCGTTTCTTGGAGGCAGCGTGCTTTGAGGATGCGTGAAGATGTTGGTTTTTGTCTGTATATGTCGTTTGTGTGTTATTCTCGCAGTCAGTTACGAAATTTCGCCAACCTGCCAATCTGTCTGTGTCCTAAAACCCAACCCCTTCGATACGGCGACGACGATCACGATTACGTGACGATGTCCGGATGCTCTTCTCGACGTTAGCCGTAGCCTTCGAGTCCTTCTGTGTCACCTCGCCGGTGAACATTGTAGCACGACCACGTCCTCTCGCTCTCCGAAACCCTCATGCGAGCACTATGTGTGATATTTAGATAGATAGGGAAAGCCGCAAGCTGTGCAGGAAAAGGTCCCTGCTAGCAGCGGAGAAGATCCTTGGTTGAGGCGAGCTCGACATTTCTTGATACCACCCCCCCTGCCTGAAACATTGCTTGTTTTGCGTTGCGTTCCCGAGCGGGTTGACTTGTGTGTGAAATATATCGATTATTTTGTTGATCTCTCCCCCCGGCCGAAAAATGACTTGGTTTCTGAGTAGCCCTCGCTTTTTTTGTCTCTCCCCCCTGCTAGACTTGGTTTTTGCACCGCTCGGAAATCACTTGATTGGAACGTTGCGTTTGCACTCAAGCTGCCGCCATTCCGTGAACTCGACGAGGCGAGGCGTAAGACTTCGGGCTAAGGAAGATTTTGGTCACGCGAGGTCACCGCCAAGAGGAGGAACTAATGATGAGCGAGAGCAAACATTAAATCAAATTTTAACTGAAATGGATGGGTTTAGGACGGCGTTGAACTTCGCGAGCGCAGATAATCTGTCTCACTTGCCACACGTTTTCTGTTACATCACGTCACACATCACATCTCAGATTTGATTAGTGCTCGATTTTTACTGCTGGCTGAGACCCCCATTTGCATTTACTTTCAGTACTCGTCCCCGTGTGAGCGCATGCCACGCCGTCGCACCAGTTGCAGGCCCCTTAAACGCGGAGTAATTGGTTGTTCGCGACAAAGTGAAAACATCATGCAAGTGAACTGCGTGCAACACATGACTGCGATGCTACAATAGAGCCCCAGTTGTTCCTTCTCGACCGCTTTGCTCGCATTTTCTACGGCAGCCCATTGCGCATTGTCAAGCACACAGGAGACTCTATTCCAAATAAAAGTCTAAACGAGAAATAAGTATACCACCGGTTCTAGTCTGGCGACGCGCCAGAGCGGGCCCGTTATACGCAGTGTATCTCTACTTGCCACTGCACACGAATACAAAAAAATAATTCTGATCATTCATAGTCCAACCTACAACGGAGCAGAGCTCTTTGGACATCCAGGACATATCGATACACCAATTTTTTTTTTGCAGAAATTCAAGTACGTACATCGCACCTGTCCGTGGCATCTCAAGTCTAGCTAAATCAACGCTTGCCTGTAAGTACCCCGAAGAAGAATGCCAGCGAAAAAAAAAATGTCATAATATCGCCACGTCTAGTTTTTCAAGAGTTCGCCGCAAATCTATCCAAAGGCACCACACCGGTACCGCACTGCTCTCGACCCCCGATCTTGCGCCAAACCTAAAGCAGGGTATCACAAAATCCAAGTCCTTAGATACACAGCCCATCCACGCCCACGATGCTAGCTTGGTCAACACGTTTGGAACCGCCATCAACGTCTTGGCGGAAGAGACTCCTCACCAAAAGCACCCGAGGTTTGTATGAAGCATCCACATCAAATAGGTCATCCCGTTAGAACCAACACAACTTGATCTTCACCGAATGTTAAAGGGGAGCATGTCCCCGTCAACACACACGTCATACCAAGATTGTGTCACCCTTCTCAAACCTCAAGCATCGGTTTTGTACGCCGCCGCCCCCCCCCCGCGCGCGCTTGGCGATGTGAGGGCCTGGTCCGGTGAGAACCCGGCGTGCTCCGTCCCGACTTTGTAGGGATGCGAGGTCAACGGTCAAATGACTATGGCATGCACGCCCCTGAGTACACACCCCCCATGCCCTTTTAGCGAACCAGTTGCCGAAGGAGCGAATCGAGTCCGCCTTGTCGAGAAGGACCAACCACCACGACATCGCGTTCCACAAATACCCGAGAGCGCACCGCGATGGAGACGACTGATCACCAAAGGCGTTTGTTTCTCTGCTGTTGAGACGGCGCTTGCGGGGAATTCTTACGGAGCCGGGGGACTCTCACCGAGCCGTGGCCAGCCCAGCTTGAAGCTCTCATCCACAATGTAAGGCTGGCCCGTGTAGGGATTCAGCCGCCTGTAGTACAGAAGAAGCACACAAACGTCGGCACACACATCGTGCCAATATAGCGCGGTGTAGGTTTCGGTTTATTTGATGTCAGCGCAGGAGGAGGTTTGGGAAGAGGCAAGCAGACGATCGTCGGGCTACGGGTGTTCCCACCATACATAACCCGAAGGGAGATGCTTTCGTAGCATGGAACAGCACGCTGCTGCTGCCTGCATGCGTGCAGGGATGGGAGCGCAACAACGTGCCTTGACGCAAGACGTACAAGAAGGCCAGAACCCACCCTACAACCGAGGCCGATTCCAACAAACAGGTCACATGTTTTTAGTCTGCCGAGATTTGTTGAGGCGTGCGCCGCGCGTACAAGGGCTGCAATTTTTTTACCCTCGCGTAATCCTCGATTCTGTGCCGCTGCTCCATCAACTGTTCTTCTACACAAACGTCATTTTTCGCACCGACAACAACTGATCCGTCCTTATGCTAAGTCCTGCACAAGAACACGGGCCACATGTTGCTGCCTCAAGTTATTGTCCAGACGGCAGCACCTACTCGATCGACACGCTTCACCTCGTTCATGAAAGCTCGTAAAAGGCCTCCACACATCAAACTCGGTTCACTACTGCTGTTGAATGCATCGGAAAGCATCCCACGACACGGGATACGGCTTGGCCGGCCAAAGCACCCCTTTGTTGGACTTGCCTTTTAAACCGTGGTCCGATGAGAAACGTCATCGCCGCTCCACCGAGGAAACCCTGCGGAAATAGAGGCAGGCACAGGTGCCGGCCGAGCATGCGTTCGCAAGGTAAAACAACAAGATCATTCATCGGGGAAAAAGTGGAGAAAAATGTGTTGTGAGTGGATCGTCTTACATGTTGTTACGGGGGGGGGTGGGGAGTGAGTGCGGTTTGTTGGCGCTTTGAAAATGGTCCCAACCATTGAACCAGTCACCACCTACGCCAACTTCCCCTGCGATGAATCGGGCAAGACGCGGTAGTCACAAACGAAAGCGAAGTACTGTACCTGCAGCACACAACCGTGAAGGCAAGCTGTCACCTAGCGACAAAAGGCCTCGAAACGTAAATACTCGTACGCGGCGTTGGTTGTGCGGTACAGCAGTAGGTCTCATGGGTCGTCTTGCGCCGTCCGGAAAGAGCCCTGCGGTCAAATTCCGCTGGACGTATCGTTCTCGCGCACGAAAAGCTTGCGTTTTATCATTGCCTCAACTACCGTATGTCAACCATGCTGCATCGTCCCATTCCATCGACGATCGCTCGACTTTGTTGTGATAAAAGCACGCCTGCAACAAGAAAACAAACCATACTGTTGAACACTTCGAGCATGAACGCCCAAAAACATTTGCCATCTGCTAAAAATCCACGGAGACAAACACAAGACACGAACAACTCACCCCCAGGTGGCCCATGTTGTCAATTTGCGAGCTGCCCATGCCGTACACAACGTTGATCATCACCGTCTGTGCCACGTTCCTCAGCGCCCGCTGCGAGTTATTTCGCCCCAACACCGTCTCGTTCATGAGGCAGAATGCCCCCCAAGCTCCGACCATGCCAAATATCGCACCCGAAGCGCCCACCGACTGCAGATAAATGCGGTGAAAAGGTACTTTGATTCAAACACACACGTTTCTCAAAAGGTTTGCCGAAAAGAACAGAAACCAGAACCACAGACAACAAGCTGTCTGTAAGGTAGCTTCTCTCAACCAAACTAGTCTGGAGCTTTGACTCAAAGTCGTTCGAGTTTCGGGCAGGTAATTCGCTGTGACTTGGAGGCAGTGTAGCTTCCTTGGGAAAGACGGTGGAACGAGTACAGAGGAATGCCGGGTGGAACTGACGTGCTTAGTTATGTCGCCACGGCCTGAGGGCATTTCCCTCCCCTCGGGCAACCTAGACTACCTGGCAGGTACGCCATTATGCGCGTGGGAACAAGTACGGGAGTGATTTACAGCTTGCCAACGTATAGGTGTATGGTACCCTTTCGACTCGGGAAAAACAGCACCCATGAGCCACTCGACGAGGTGAAATGTTAGCAACGAGGGCCGTTCCCGAGCCGTCCCCGAGAAAGGTCCTCGTCTCTGTCCTCGTCTCTTCTGCTCACCGGTGTGCGTGGGTTGACGATGCAGCTCAGGACATTGCCAGCAATGCCTGCTAGAGTGTACACCGTAACGAACTTTGCCTTTCCCATCACCCTCTCCACCTATGTTGGAGACAAACAAACGCGCCAGCAGTGGGATTGCAATGGTCAGCAGCGTGGGTGGTAACACCTCTCGCGAAAGCAAAAGCGGCACCGTAGACAACGAAGATCGGTCCCTCGTTCAACTCCTTAAGAGGCAACTACGAAGAGCCAACACGCGATTGAATAGAAATCACTCCGCCGAGCAGGCATACAGGGTCACGAGATTCCCATTGCCGGTCGCGTCACATCATGTTTTCATCTTCGTCTCAACTGCACTTGTCCACACTGTACAACCAACCAACGGGGCGTGACAGAACACCTCGACACCGCCGGCGTGCTTGTGTCTTCATACAGAAGGGAATTCGTTTGTGCTGCGCCGTACAGGAAACAACAGCGGAGTACAACTGGACTGGCGCAAAGAAATGGTGGCACACAAGCCCCATCTCCTTCTTCTCTCACCACCGGGCCGACGCTGCTGAAGGACATGCTATTGACCGCCAAGTGTGTGAAGGACCCGTGCAGCACGATGGGCGTAAGGAGGCGGTACCACTGTCCTTGCTGAGTGATCGCTGGGGCCATCTGCGGCGCGCGAGGCAGCGCACGCACGTTGGTGAGCCGGTTAGCGTTGGGCTGTGCCAAGCAAGGAGTGTGAGCGGCTCCATAGTTTCGGGCGCAGTCTTGCGTGAAGCTTTGCCATGTTTCTCTTGCAAAGGGTTCGTAGAGAGATTTCTTATTGGCATTCTGGGGGACGCTCATACTTAGAATGTTGGTCCGGGGACCTTCATTTTGCCCGGTGACACGGACGTCTTTTCAGGTCAGCCGGTGACCGCGGTCGATGCCAATTAAGGAATCCCGTGATAGATCGCGGAACGAACGGGGTGAGGGTTTGGACACACGCTTGCTACCAACGTTACCGGAATAAGCCAACGAATGACCAAGCTGCTTTCAAACTACCACACATGTGAGACCGAACGATTGGCATCACCGACAGGGGGAGTGCTGCAGCGCTGCTCCCTGATTCACGACGTAAAAAAAAATGACCAAGAGAATGTTCTTCCGTCCAAAGTGCTCAGAACCACAGCAGTGGAAAGGCACATAGTGCGCGTGGGGGGAGATTCACGATTCCTTCATCGTCCGTGCATGCCCGTCACGGGTGAATGGCAAGGCCCTACCCAGTCACCGGCTCTCACCCACCCAAATTTACCAGGCAAGTGTTCTTCCGTTCCCTTAACTTGTCTGAATATTTTACAATCTGAGTCCAGACCGCGAGTGAGGTTCCCATCTCAGCACAACAAAGGATGTCCTCGAAACGCAAGCTCGATCGAGACAACTCTGTTTCGAATTGTAGGGAATGTTTGGGCGTTCATCTTGTATCCGATCGGTCCCAATGTTTTCAAACTGAGTGGTACACGGACAACAATGCTGTACGATTTGAGTAATATTTGATAACTCTCCCACCCGCTTGTGTCCGCGTACCTTCCAGCCCGCTTTGGTGATTGCCGGGTATCGCATCTGGAAGAGGTACACGATGGCGTTCAACGCGAGCAACACGTTCGTCGCCGTTATCCCTCCTTGACCGCCGCTCCCGCCGGCCTGCCGCCGCTGCTCATACGCCAGAAAGAAAACCCAGGAGACCACCCGGTGGCCACGTCAAAACAAGCAGAGGCAAGTGGGACAACAAATGGACAACACACATCACAGTTCGGCCATGTTTGGACCTCCGCACCCTGGGTGGAATGCCTGCCAGGCCGGTGCAGTTGGTTTCGAACTTGACAAGGACCGATGAAATCGAGATGGAAATCAAGATCAATTACGTGGTGGTACGCGTTGTGCACATCTGTGGGCACGCACTGTACACATCTGTAACCATACGTGCGTGCTTGGGGGGCCACACACGACCCCGCGAGTTATACTGCTCCCCCCTCTCCGCCTCCTCCTCGTCCCGTCGGCACACACCTGCACCGGTCGTCGACCGAAAACGGACCTCCGACGGTAGCCCCCGCGGAGCGTCGATTCCGGCTGCGACGAGTCGGCGTCGTCATCATCACTCGCCATCATCATTACCTGCTCTCACAAAGAATCCAACCAAACGACGAGATATCGCTCACAATGTACCGTCGTTCTTGGAGAAAAACACACACACGCACCCGAGGCAAGAAAAGTCTTTCCGTCCTGTCCTTCTTCGACCAAAAGCATGTCTCCCTCGACGGGTGCCTCGCTAAAGGTGATCCAAGATACAACCCTCCTGGCATTGATTCCGTGGCATTGATTCCGTGGCACTGCTTCGCTTTCTCACATGCGCAGCCCCGAGAGCCATCATGTCGCCCTTGCTGTCCTCCGTGTTTTCCCCGTCGTTCCCCCAACCTCCGCCTCCACCACCGCCGCCCCTGGTTTGGAGGCAATATATGGCAGGACCGCTGTTTAGCTGACGGTACACGGTCTCAGTGGTACTGCAAAGGCTTGCGGCAGCGTAGGAAGAGTGCCGCAACTAAATTTTTTAGAGGTAGGAACCAAATCCTAAAGCAGAACAAAACCGAGAAGATTTGAGAAAACGCGAACAAAGTGCTGCCGCCAACATACAACCTGAACAGCAGGGTTGAATCAGGCGAAGGAGCGTGCAAGTCACCGTAGGTTTGTGCCACAGGGTGTCGGCGGCTGATACAACCAAACACATAGCTGAAGGTGTTATCGCTAGAGCCACGACAATCGCACCAATTCTGAGAGATCGAGTTCTAGCATGAAGTAGACCGAGAGTCACCCGTGCCCGCAGCTGACGCCAACTTTTCCAAATTAAGAAACAAACTCCGTGAGACTTTCGAACAGCAGACTGGGAGTCACGGTGTCGACGTCGACTAGGACTTGAAGGAGACATTGCAACACCGACAGCGAAGAAATGAAAGTGCTTGTGCTGCAACCGGGACAGCCGAGAACTTCACCTCCCCAGCCCGCCGCTCCTCGGAGGCCCTGACGAACCACTGTCGCTGTCTAACCCGCCGAAAATCCCGCCTACGACGTTGCTGCCGCTTTTGCTGCCGCTGGAACCAGGATGGCTTCCGTCGCCACCGCGGCGAAATATGCGAGGCGCAAAGTTGCGTGGGGGCGCCGCGTCTCTCCCGCCGTCGTCGCCGCCGCCGCCGCCAGAAAGCATCACTGCTGTTGCTCTGTCTTCGCAGCGGGCGAAGCGGGAGATGGAGGAGCAGCCGTGTTCCCTGCCCACCCCTACGGTGGTCGTCGCTCGTGTAGTGATCGATGGTGGGAGAAACTTATCGGACTGAGTGTAGCTTGGGGTGGTGGAGAACGCTGTCGCGACGGCTGGTCAGGGCACGACGAGAAAAGTGGCAGGGTGGAGTGGGGGTCGTGGGATGAAGGGCGACCACGACTGCATAGAATTGGTCGATGATATTTGTAAAAACGATCAACCCATTCCATCGCAGTAGCACAGTGGTCTACCCCTGGAAAAGGTCTACTCTACGTCATGAGGCGTGTGCTGAAAGCCTAGTCTTACGCATAGCAATAAAAGTTGCGCGTCCGTGAGTGCAACAAGGACCGACGGTTGACCCTTCTAGAAGTCAAAATCATTTGGGCATGCATCATGCATCCCGCACGGGCAGTTTTTTTGTGTAAACGCGGATCGGGGCTCCTCCGGTTGAGAGGCAAGGCGATAGGGTAATTGTGTTATCGTCCTACAGGTACATACAGTAGTCTAGTTCTGTAGGTACGCCGGAACAGGGAATAAAGGCTTTCAGCAGCTCGAGCAGTCAGAAGTGCAGCACTACTGACTGTCGTCGTCTACAGCTTGTCCAGGGTTGTCCTGTTGGATGCATATGAGCGGCTCCATAAGACCTCTGAGGGATGGTGTCCACGGTAGAGCTCCACATGGCGGCATGACAACGTTGGGTGCTGCGAGACGTGTACACTAGACTACATGTTGCACCGCATGCTAAAAAAAAGAAAACTACAATGTACAATGCATACCTGGCCCAGCAGAGCCACCCGTAAGAACGAGTAAGGCGCCCAATAGAGTCACCATGGTCAGAGGGTTCAAGGAACAACACGTGACCTCCTTCAGGTTCGTGGTGCGTATGCGAAGCAGCACCCCCTGTGAGAGGGCTAGCGGGGGACACACGACTGCGTCTAGGTAGGGTAGGTGCCTCGAAGAGAGAACCACGCATGCACGGGGCACCAACCAAGCTTGACCTGTGTTAGTCGGTAGCCTGACCGTGGTGTCGCTCAATGTGGTGTCAGGTCAGCACAGGAGAGTAACGCCAGTGCAGTCTGCCACACACAGAGAGGACGGGGACAGAGAGAGATAGAGAGAAAGAACCAGCGGTAAGTTGACATTGGGTTTGTAAGGGGCACTACAGCACGGTGTTCTCATTGAAACGTAGAGCATGATTTTCGCGGAACACCGCCAAATTCAAATCTCGTTTGAAATCTACCCTCTGCCCGGCTCTCTCTTGGCGGTGGTGACTGCTGTGTACTGCTGTAGACTACAGATTGCAAAGTGTATGGCCAGCTTTCGGCTTGCTGCCTGGTGCCTGGTAAATTTCGCACGAACTGCACTAGGCTGGCAGTATAGGACTTCAAAGCCCCCTGTCGTTACCAACTGCTGTACAAAACCAGTGCTGCTAACAAAACATGACAGCAGTAGTGGGCAGAGTGGGTGATTCACGTACATCCATGTTTCTCTACATATTCATCGTAATCGTTGCAACGGTAGCCGCTTACCGTATTTACCACAACTTGAGCACACAACAACACTACACGTGGATTCTTGTGCGAAACGTTGTCCAGCCGCTTTTCTTCCGAAAGTTCTTACCTAGTCGTTGCCGCGGTTCGCTGCGATGTTCACAACAGAGTAACATTGGAGTTGGATCTCAGCGAGGAGGCTTTTCGCCACTTGCGCGGATGCATAGCAACACCCGGCCGGAGGCAGTGTGGAACCTCGTCCCTCCAGGGAGGCCGCCTTCAGGACCGGCACTTCACACCCAGGTGGGGCGACAGGCCGCCACACTTGTTGTTGCCAACCTTGCTGGTGGTGTCAACCTCGCGTTCTGCCCGAAATGACTTATGCTCCATATGGTGGTGCCTGGTGGAATTACGTTTTTCTCATCTCGCTGGCATGGAGACGAGCTCCAGCTGTTGCTACTCCTACTCACGAAATCTAAATCATTTGTATCTTTTAAACAGCGGCGTGGATGCCGATACTCAGCACGCACGGAGTCCTCTAGGGTATTTTCAGGCCAAGGGGAAATCGAATTGTCGAGTTTTTGCACCCCGTCCCCTGGGGAGGATTGCGTTTTGTGTTTCAGCGGCTATCCCGCGGTTCACTGCCCCACGCTACCAAGAGACCCGGGCTTTGACGCAATCTGCTTCGCTTGTTCGGACGAAAAGTGCGCAGTGTTTCACAGCTTAGTTTTCTCACTAACAAGGAAGGGATTTGGCTACTGGATACCAACCTCCCCGTCGTTCCCTGGCAAACCCTACATGCACTTGGGGTGGGACCCCCAACAAAGAACATGTTTCCAGTAGCTTCAAACCGTATCGATGGCTCTCTCTCTCTCTCTCTCTCTCTCTCTCTCTCTCTCTCTCTCTCTCTCTCTCTCTCTCTCTCTCTCTCTCGCTCTGTTCGTTTGACGTACAACGTGCTGCTTTCTCTCTGGCGTTCGGGTCCCCCGTACCCCTCGCCCTGCATACTTCCAGGCCAAAAACAGGCCTTTCGCGCTCCTCAAGAGCCTCGAGCCTCCGAGAGGCCCCGACTACTTCCCCATGGAAAATTTCCGCAGACCCTTGTGGCCGGACGACGATCGCGTTGGCGCAAGCGGTATCGGTGCCGGTGGTGGGCGCGGACACGGCACAGGACCTGGCACAGCCAGCGACCGCCACATCTCGCAAGCCGCCAACGCTAGAACCAGCCAACACTCGTCCCCTCATCTCCACACTCCCACGTCGGGACCCCGTGGAACAGGGCGGGGGATGGCGTCCTTCAGCCCGGCGTTGTCCCGCGCGTCGACGACGATGATGACTCCGGTCCAACAGACCCAGCAGAAGCCGGAAGGGTTCAGCATGTTCGGCGGGAAGGCGTATTCTACACCTGCGAGCCACGGTAGCATCTGCAGCCAACCTCCGCTATCATCGCACACCCCGATCGGCAGCAATACACCTACTGTCGCCCCTGGCACGATTCCCTACGGCGGTGGCGGTAGCAGCGGCGTTGGCGGCGGGTTAGCTCGATTCAAGACGCTGGTACAGGAGACCCAGGAAGAGGAGCACATGAAACAACAAGAGAGACGACGGGGCAGCGGTAGGGGCGGCAGCAGCAGCGGATGCGGTATCCGCGACTCCACCGCGCGCGGGATGCCTTCGCCATCGTCGAATTTCCTCTCTCCCTCCTCGTTGATGGGGTCCCCGCCGAATGCTTTGACCCCTTGCGACGACTCACCCTCCTCCTCCGCGGCATACGCCTTCACGCCGTCTTCACCAGCCGCCCCTCCTTCGTACCCCAATTGGCCTGCCGGCCCCTTGACGGCAGCAGGGCGGAAGAGACCGAGAGCGCCAAGCACTGCTACAGCTGCTCTTGGACGGCCAATGACCCCAGGGACGGTCCTGTCCGTCGGTGGTGGCAACCTCAGCGCCGATGTTTCGGGGGCAAGGACCTGGGGTAGCCTGGCCGAAGGCAGCAGAGGCAGGGCAGGGCAGGTGCAGCAGCAGCAACAACAGCGTCGGCAGGCGAACCCAAGGCCGCCTGCCGCACACGGGGCATCTGGGGCAGCGGCGCGGGCAGGGGTGGCAAGCAGCGTCTCCTCCCGGTCCCCGCGGCCCGCTAGGAACAAATCTCCGTCGCAATCGCCGCGCACGTCACAGCCCCCGCCGACGCCCAGGCGGTACAAGTTGGACGATTTTGCGGGGGCGGACGACGTTTGTTTCAATGCCGGTGAGTTCCTTTTTGTGTGGGTGCGTTTTGCGCTTGGAGTGTGTGTTGCCGGTTATTTCCATGTGAGTCCCTCAAGCTTCTGCAAGCGATAAGGTTTGTGCACATGGCGCTGGCGGCGATGACACGATCAGAAGGATTGGTTCTTATAACGTTGCGGCCCGTGAGAGTGAAACTTCATGTCGCTTGCTGCAGCAGTTGGGAGGTGGTAGGGGAGACGATGTTGCTGCTTCGCTGTTTTTTCCCCGGCGCCGACGATCGAACGTGTAGTCTGATCTCGCGAACAATGGAATCAATCAGCGCCGGCAGAACCCTTAGCGACAACACCAACCCTTACACCAATCTACCCAACACAGTAAGAGCTGTAAAAGACGTCAGCGATGGGCCGTCTTCCACCTTATCCCGCCACCTCCCCCTCCGTTGTCCTACCGAGCAATTCAGCGGCATCCTCTGAAGGATTGGCGATTTTTCTAGAGAGGTGCGAAGCGAGCGGGGTTGCATCGCTGTCGGTGCTCTGGGCCGACCTGACAACAAGCTTTTCAGCGATGACCGTCAAGAGCTGCCTGCCGAGTCAAAGCTGCTTCCGATGGAACTGCGCTTGTGGTAGACAGGTCTGTGTTCGTGTGTGTTTTTGTGTTTGTGTGTTTCTTTAGGCAGCACCGACCACGCTGATCGGCTGACCAATGAAGGGACGTTACTCTTAGAGCGGGGCAAATGAAGCGCGAACGTATTTTCTATTCTGCGTGCCCCCCCCCCCCCCCCCCCCCCAAAAAAAGAGGGGCAAGGAGGAGGGGGCCCCACCCTCCTTTTTGTTTCTTGTGTGTTCCCAACGTTTATAATCCCCCCCCGCCCCCCACTGTTTTTTTCCCCCCCCCCCCAAAGAAACCACAAGGGACTGCTCCCACCCGCCCAACCCGTCCTCCAAAAAAAAACAAAGGAGGGTGGTTCAAGGCTACCTGGTTTAAAACCTGGGACCACAAAAGGTGTAAAATTTAATACCCCTCCTGGGGCGGGTTGAAAATTTTTGGGAAAGGCCCTAAACAAAATGGGCTTGGGAACCTTTTGAAACTTTTGCTCTCCCCCAAGGACCCCCCCTCCGAACC